GCCGCCGCAAGCCGCCGCCGCCCCACAGCTCGCCGACGCCCCGCCGCCGCAAGCCCGACGCCGCGCCGCCTCGCCGGAGGTAGTCGACGCCGCCACCACCGCTGTCGTATTTTTCGGTTAACCATTCGTTTTTTTAGAAACCCTAGATCTAATTTTTTTAATAGATCGGTTCGTTCGGTTTTCTGTCGGTTTATTTATTTAGCGGACGTTCGTCCATATGTTCGTTTTAACGAACGTCGTTCATCCGTTAGCCGCAGACAACGAACATTCGTTCGTTAGTCTGTTCGTCAGTTTTTCTTTTTCCAAGGGTTTTTTTGCGATTATTTTTTGATTGCGATTTTTGCCCTAATCTTCGATCTAGTATAACTTCTCGCTTGTTTATCCAAATCGGGTGAAATAAGCGTCTAGATCTTCGTCCCGAAGTCCTCTTTCTGTTTAACCAACTTGAACAAGATTTTGGTACTGTAAAATTTGACTTTACTTCAGATTAGTAATCGTATCTTGTTTTTTTCGTGGTTTGAGTTTCGTTGCTTCGTTTGATTTGATTCTTTTTGCAAACCGGAGTTCTTCAGTTGAATTTTCTGGTTAGATCTTATTATTTGAGTTTTACCCATGAATCTTTGCTTGATTGCTTATGTATGATATTGTTTGTTTGCGATAGAACACCAGGAGTGCGAAGCGTGCTACTATGAGTCGCTAGGTTTTGTGGATCGTCGGCAAGGCAAGTAATACTTTGATCATACCCCTTTATCACCCAGTTTTTATGCATTAGTTTCAACCCTCACACATTGCATGAGTAGGATCCCTTAACATGTGGGTCTGGAAAGTAGATGATGTGGTAGAACTTATTACCTGTTCTATTATCAAACCCCTGGGAGTTACTTCTACGCTATGCTTATGCTGCCATGCTATGCTCGTAGATGTGGATTGGGTTTGAGTGTATCCATGACAAATATGAGTTGTTAATTAATGGTTCAACTTAAGGTGGAAACTTTAATACACATCTGAGTGGATTGCTTGTGGGCACCTGGAGAATCCAGTGTTGTCCTAGGATATCCCGGAGTACCCGTGTGATCATCCTGCGGTCCGCCACCCAGGCTCAAAGGGATCATAAGATTATTCATGCTAGAAACTCCCGCGTGCATCCACAAGCTATTATGGGCTCTAGCATACTTGAGTATGTTGCATGATCTCTTTCAGTGGTGGGCTAGCAGATATAGGGGAAAGTAGGTGTAACTGTCCACCTAGAGTAAAGAGTTAGTGCCTCTGAAAGACTGTGTCTCGGTCATCCGTTTCTCAAACACCATGTAGTGCGAGAAATCCAACGGAGGAGATAGAGTCTTGTGGGGAAAAGTGCGCAAACCTCTGCAGAGTGTACAAACTAATCATGGTTAGCCGTGTCCCCGGTTATGGACATCTTGAGTATCCGGTTCTTGGATTATTATATGGATCTCATCACTCTAAATTAATTTGTTGGGTTGATAATTACTTTTAATTGGGATTGAGTTGGAGGAACCTTCTCAATGTTGTTCAACTATCATGCTAGTTAAATAAAATATATTCCTTTGTTGTAGGAAAAAATTGGCTTTTCGCAAGACATATTAACCATACAGCCTCCACCAGCCATATATGCATATAGTGATAGCCTTTATCTATTCATTACGCTACTGTGCTACATTGCCAGCATATTTCATGTGCTGGCCCATTTTTGGGCTGCAACGTATCATGTTGCAGACTTTTCAGACAAGGAGTATGATTCGCTAGGCCGTTGTCATGCACTCAGCTATGCCGTTGGATTTGATGGACTCACTTTATCTTTCAAGCCTTCCGTTGTTATCTTAGTTTAGATGGCCTTAAGCCATATATATTGTAATAAGTTCTCTCTTGAGACATGCGATGTAATAAGTGTGTGATTGCTACTCTGTTATAAATCCTTCGAGTACTGTGTGTGTCAGCATTACCGATCCAGGGATGACACTGAATCACAGAGACTTGACCGTCTAAGGTCGGGTCGCTACAAGCGGGCGGCGTAGTATTATTCGATTTGACTGCGGGTGGCATAGTTCCTGATACGACTTTAATGCGTCGAGGGAGAGGGTAACGGTTCCTGAAATGTTGAACGGCCAATGATGCATCCTCCTTCAATTAGCATAGTGTGAATTCATGAGGGAAGTAATGGGAGGAGGACCGGGAAAAGAGGCAGCACGATGTGAATGCAACGTAGTTTGCACTCATATAAAGGCGCCCTTCCATTCCAATGCATCTACCACATCGTACGCATCTAAGCATTTGCCTAAGCACCTACACTAATAAGCGCAAAAGTGCTCACTCCAGACCCATGGAGGCGATGCGCGTGAGCGGCTAGCGGCGGTGCCAAATGGTCCACGACGCCGGCCTACGGCATGGCACCGTGGATCGTCTCCACACGGTGTTGGCGACCGGCTGGTGGATGGCCGCCGTCGATGCCAGCTACGACTCTCAGTATGACCAGATTATCGTTCGCACCACCAACAGGTTCACCATCGTCAAGAAGCTCGCGGACGACAACGCTGTACTCCTCTAGCCCGTGCGCCCGGGCTCCTCATTGCCTGCCACCCTAATCGGCCTCCATGGTCGGAACCTCTTTCAAGCACTGGTGGCCCTGCGACTGCCCGCCGATGCCACGAAGAATGTCCACCTGGAGGTCGCGCTCTCCATGAGGCGCCTCGCCCTACAAGAAACCATAGACCTACACATCCATGTGTACGAGCGAATCGTGTACATAGGTATCTACAAGGCCAGTGAGGACGCTGCGATGTTGGCCTTCTTCAACCGGCTGGAAGCCTTGGATGCCTTAGCTGAGAAGCACCTTGACCTCTCCACAAAAGCCGCCACGCCTTAGCCACCAGACGGTGGCCCGGCGCGCTGAGTTGAGAAGGAGGAGGTCGTACGTTGATGGATGCAACTTTCTTCTTGCCTCCTGTAACCACCACTGTGATCACATCATTGTGGTCTTAATTCTTATTGTGCTATTGCATTCTCGTTCTAGTCAATACAGACATGTGTGATCCCTTTCCTTAATTATATGCATCATTGTAACTAGTACTCCATCCGTCAATTTATAAGTTGTGCTGCCAGTGTTTGGGGCCGGCGCATGATCGTGCATGTTCTTGTGCATGCGGTTGCGTCGGGCGCGGCACGACAATGCAGTTACCCGCTGCAAAAACTACCATGCGGGGGACGTGGCATTGACCATTGGGCGGCAACAGTCGGTCATCCAGGTGCCCAATAAAGGAACCAAAGAGAGATCCTACAGCAACAAGGACCAGCTTCCCTACCAATAGCTCATCTAACAGAACTCCCGTTACTTTATGACATGTTTCCAAAACATTGACCTCGAGGTTAATTGAACTAATAGGACAGCGCATTATATACATTCAACGCAATTAAATATTTTCCAAAAAAGTGAAATGACTTCTGTGAAAGTTATAAGTCATGTATGTCAAATTAACCTCTGTGTACTTGTTCTCGAATTAACCTTCGGGCCTTTTTGCCGCGGATCACAAACATCTTGTTAAGTTAAACCATTTATGTTCTCTTTCCTAATCAAAAACAGTTTATTCGACTGAACCGTATGCTGTATATCACACACACCTTGATCTGGCTGACCGTTTCTTTTAATTTCCCTAATAGCAAACAGTTCATCGGAGCGAATCGTATGCCGTATATCGCACACGCATTAATATGGCTGCCCGTTTCTGTTGTTCTCTAATTGCAAACAGTTCATCTGGATCAACCGTATGCCCTGCTTCGCACACGCACCTAAAATCTGAACCGTGTTTGATGCATCTGTCATCGCAAATGTTTTGCACCTTTTTTGATAGTTTTTTTACACCACCATTTGTGATTATGGCATCGCACATAGTTTCGTCGAAGGGTCTCTGATCGTAGTGTCGCATTAGCAGCATCCTGCAGTAGTGAGTAGTATTCGGCTCTCTAGACAACTTCCGAAGCGAAGACTTGATCTTCGACATCGTTCCTTTTCACAGTGGTTATCATGCACTGCTCGGACGAACGGCTTTCGGCTGTTTTAATGCGGTCCCACACTACGCTTACCTGAAGCTCAAAATGCCTGGACCTCGTGGCGTCATCACAGTAAATGGGAATATGGAGCGC